AGTTAGAGATCCTATTAATTGAGCCACCATTAGTTGGTAAATCCTAACCGAAGCTGGTTAGCCCTAAATCCATTGCTGACCACCATCCTAAGCCTTCAAGGCTTGCCATTGCCCACTATCAACGACCTCCATCAAGACATCGACTAATTTTTTGCTGCAACCATGGACACCATATAGAAAACCTAAAAGAGATAAAATTGGTTGAGGCTAGCTTTAGGCTATTGCCATCATTTATTGTTACCATGGATTTAACAATGTTGTTGTATAATGCAAGATTCAAAGTATTGGTATCTTGTATCCTATCTGTAAGCTTGGATACCAATACCTATTGCATATGCTTTAGATGCACATGGATACAATGGAAAGAAATGGATATGATTGGATGCATTGGGAAAACTCTTACAAATCCCACAAATACACAAATTTTGTGTATAAATCCAAATACAAGAAAAAGTGGAGATAAATTTAAATGAATTGATTTTTTTAATATATTTAAAATAAAAGGGTTTTTACTGTTCAGTTCACCCCTAGAAATCTTAACTCCACCGTACAGTTGGGGTAGGTGCCAATTTACGGGTGGATATGAGTGTTATAGGTGGAGGTATTTATAATTTTGGATTGTTGTAGATCTGCAGTTGAATTCAAAATTCTGAGGTGCAACTTATTCCTAAAATAAATGGTATACAAACTCTTTGTATTTGAAATCTCTTACAAAAGAGATAAATCCTTTGATTCCTTATTGTTGATACATTTCTTGCAACTTGAAGATTTGTATGAGTTGAAACCAAGGGTCAACTGATGTTTTCTCATACTTCAAGGAATGATGGAGTTACTTCGTTCAACTGACCTTTGAAAACTTTGATCAAAAGAAGGATTTCCCATGACTCCAAAAGTGTTGTGACTTTGCTTTTCATGCTTCTTACTTCATTTAGTCTTTGACCAAAGGTCCCTCCTCTTTTGATGGGAGCCTCTAATTGCATGGCTTTGAAAGCTTGATTAAAAGAATAATTCTGCAAGACTCCAAGAGTGTTGTAACTTTTTCCTTCAGAAGATGATGTATGCGTGTGTGCGTGCTTTCTCATTCTCCAAGAGCCTTCTTATTTCATTTAGTCTCTAAACTAAAGGTCCCTCCTCTCTTGATGGGAGCCTCTATTTGTAGATTGCTTGGTCTAATATTCCATGCCTTTGATTGAAGATTTAATTGACTCTTGTTACATTTTTTAGAGAGTTGTGACATTATCACTTATAAGAAAGATCAATTGTTCTCTCTTTAATCATTAACTAAACTTTCATATATGCTTTAATTGACAAAAAATTGATTAATCCCAGTTACCTTTTGGATTGAAAGAGGTTAGCAAATTGTTGTTTACGGAGAGAATGATTTTCAATCAATTGTTCTCTTTTCAATCATTGGCTAGGTTTCCATCCTCGCTCTAGTTGATTTTTTTCCATAAACCACTAAGAATTTAAATTTAGGCTCTGTTTGGTTTGCGGGAATAGGGGTCTGGAATCGGAATTGGAATGGGCTATTCCGATTCCAATTATTTAGTTGGGCGGAATCGGAATCCCATTCCCATTCCTGTTGGAATGGCATTCCCCTATTTGAGGGAATGATCATTCTCTGTCTCTCCCTTGGGAATGAGATCTCATCCCTATTGATTTTAATTCTCATTCCCATTTTCATTCCTTTTTGAACCAAACAGACTATGGGAATGGACCATTCCAGTTCCGATTCTGGAGGATTTCGATTCCAATTCCAACTACAAACCAAACAGATCCTTAAATTAAAATTAAAATTAGAATTTAACTTCGGAGTGGATCCCGCATGGACCCTCCTCTTATGCTATTGGATTTATAAAGCAAGGCTCAAATAGAAAGAGTCCACTAAGTCATGAGCGAATTCGAATTTATGGGGGTAGGGCTCATTTAAAGGCCCATCAAAATTCTCATGGGCCACTAGAAGACACATAAAATTGTTGTTGGATCAATGATTTTGATAGATCATTGATAAATCCATCTTATATAGTTTTTCTTTACCATGGAAATCATTTATAATATATAAAACAAATGTTTTTTTTTTAATTTTCCTAAAAATTAAGAAAAAAAATAGAGCATTGTTAGATTAATGAGTTTAAAAAGATCACTGATGTATCCATTTATAGTTCTTTCTTGCGATGAAAATAATTTAAAACCTATAGAAAAGCATTTATAATTTTTTATAATTTTCTATAGGTTGTTGGGTCCAAGGTTTTATGAAAATAATATATATTATGCCAAATTGAAATGATAGAAAATACACATATCCATAAACTAGAAATTTATAAGCAATAAGTTTAAGCATTTAAACATTAAATAAAATAATAATTAACCAACTAACAATTATAAATATTTTATGTTTCATGTAAAAAAACCAAGTTAGAAGAAAAGAAAAGCATAGCTGAAATGAGAAAAAAAAAAAAAACTATAGTACCAAGTTAGTGAGACTGTAACATACTTTTATCCAAACTTATTGACCTAGGTTTTTTTTTCCTACCATTTCCAAATGATCTCATTGCTTCTACTAAAAGGTTATGGTACCAAGTTAGTGCAAATGGCCCTAATCAATGATCAATAGACCTAGATTGGTCATGTTTTGACTTTGATTTATGCTGGGTAACTGAATGAATATACTTTTTATAAATCCACTATTTTACATTAGCTCCCTTTTACAACTTTTAGTGACCTAGGGCATGTTGTGAAAATTGATCCAAGTTAATCGGTCTGATCATCCAATCTGATCAGTGTCTTACAACATTTGTTGAAATTTGGTTTATGGGTTTCTATGTGCCATTTCATTTTGAAAGAAGAGATAAAAAGAAATCCTAATATTATGAGGTTAGAACTTAGAAGTCATACCAAATTACGAGAGTAAGTTGGGGAGATGGGTTTCAGTCAGTGCTAGGCCCGTTTGAACAGTCTTTACAGCCTTGCATCGGGAACATTTCCATACTTTTATATTTTATTTGATGAAGAGATATTTCCAATGCAAAGCTATAATGACTGTTCGAATGAGTTTTGCACTGATTGAATCCGATTTCTAGGTTGGGACAGAAAAACGCAAGCCCAACTCAGGTTGAAGAAGCAAAATCCTAACCCGAGCATTCTCTGAAGTAAACCTGACCCTATAAGGTTGGGTTTACTATATAACCTGACCCATTCAGAACCCCAAGTCCGCTGCTCCAAGACCTTGGTCAGCCAAGACAAACATTTGGTAATTCCAACAAATATTGATTTAAAAATCAATGATCAAAATTTCGTCACTGGTCATCTGAGATAAACATTTCGTAATTCCAACAAATATTGATTATCACTAGTCAGTCAAGAAAAACATTTGGTAATTTCAAGAAATATTGACTTAAAATCAAGGTTCAAAATTTCTATCACGGTGTATGCTACCATATTGACCTGTCCTCATATGTGAAATATTAAATATTTTAAAGGATAGGCCTTGCTAAGACCAGTTCCTTTAAAATTAAAATTAAAAAAGGATAAATTTCTTAAACTATTCTTATAGTTTAGCTAATTGACTTACTTTATCTTTACTATTTACATATTATCTTAGAGTATCCCTAAGTTTTTCGACAATTGTCTAAAACCTCCATTCTTGTTAATTTTCCATCACATTTACATGTGGCGTTATATGACTGATATTTTTTTTAAATTCCTAAAATATCCTTTCCCAACATCTTCAACCTTTTTATCCCAATTTCTTAGCTCCGAGGTACAGATTTCTCAGCTGCAGCACTGTCACCTGTGCAACAAAAACAGGCACTTTAATGTAAGCCACCATCATGGCCAGTTTCACCGGAAAATTAAAGCCTTTTCCTCTTCTATCTACCAAATGAGATGATTTCTTGAATTCTCTTTTGGAACGAAATCTGGGACCTCTTGGAGAGCCTGGCCTTCCCACCAAAAAGCCATGTTACCTCTAGAACGAAATGTAGTGTTTTGTGGGTCCTAGGCTAGAATAACAAGAGTCCCATCTTCCATTTAACAATCGGAGATGGAATCAACTCTTCGGCGTTCAAACCAGTGGCAGCACATGGCTCTTCGGCGACCGTCCAAGCAACGTTTAAATGTTGACTAATTACCTTTGATAGGGGCTTTGTTGATACTGAAATGAAATCGGTTGGAAAAACAAAGACTCAATCAATGGAAATTGTCGCCAATGGATTTTCTGGGTTTCTGGGCATTTCCGGGTGGAGCTCTGATCAAACCTCTATTATACGGTAATTAATTTTATCAGGAATCGTGTAAGCGGAGTCGGCTTTGGTAAAGCGCGCCATGGACATCTTCAACAAGCTTGGCAACCTGGATGCTTACCCAAAGATAAATGAGGATTTCTACAACAGAACCTTCTCCGGTGCTGTTATCACGCTAGTATCCTCTGTTGTCATGCTCTTGCTTTTTCATCTCTTTCCTTCTCCTTTCCCAACTTAGGGTTCCTATCTTCTTTCAGAGCATTTGGGTTCATCGATGTTCGCATTGATGCTGAAGTCATTATAGAATTATAGGGATTCTATTGTGCTTTACAGGGGATATGAGCATATGCTTATGGAGGAAACTAAAAAAGAACAAGGGGTGCTTTAGTTCCGTATCCATGATCAATGGGGAATGATGGAAGCTCCATTTGTTGTCACAAACACTTGCTGTAAATGACACTAGAATTTATCATTTTGATGTTAATGTTTTATTTTGGAAATTAAAGAATAATGAGTAAAATAAATTTTTTCATGTTAATGAAAAAGAGGATTTAATTAATTGTCAGAATAAAACTTAGGAATACTATAAAATAATAGGGAAGATGGCCGAGTACACACGCTAAAAAAACATAAAAAAAGATGTGCCGGTGAGACCCCCCGATACACGCTCCAGTATCAATATTGGAACTTGTTTAAAACCAGTTCCTGTGGAAAGCATTAGACGTGCTCAACGACAGATAACCAAGGAAGATGGCCGAGTACAACGGAGAAAGAAGAAATTGTCATCTACCACTTTTGACTCATGACGACCTCATACTTGGGGCAGACAAAGTTGGCATACATAAACAATTTACAAATGAGCTAGGTCAGTCAATCAAACCTGCCCCGCAAATGAATTGCTGTTCGATACCCATTGTTATGGCACAAGTAACAACAGTTCACAATTCTCTACCTTCAAGTATAACCAAATGTATTCTTCTAACCGACTTATCAAATACAAATTGCAGGATTACAACAAAATGGAAGACACCCTTACGGGACAATTAACTTCCTGTGCAAATTTTCAAAAGAATGCTCATGCCCTTCATGATCGTGAAAAAGAAGTGTTAAGATTCCGACCAGACAGAGCACAGAACCAACAAGAAGTTTATCATGCCGCTCCACCCAGTGAAACTTGAGCTGGCTAGCACCGTAGTAGGAGAGTGCAACCAGTGAGGTCATAACTATAATAGTACTGCAATCACAGATATCAAACATAAGGTTAGTGTATCAGAAGTTCTAACTAACCAAGATTGAAAACTAGAGAGACCAATATTTTGTCAAAGTATTGACAGCAAAACACAAGCAAGGTGGAAACCCCCTCCTCTGGAGGGGGTTGTAAAGCTGAACTTTTTTTTTTTGATCAATATCGTAAAGCTGAACTTTGATGGGAGTAGTCAAGACAACCCAAGGCCTTCGAGTATTAAAGGGATCTTGAGGGACAAGGACAGCAACATTCTCTTTATTCTCAGGTCTAGTGGCAGTTGGAGATTACAAGGGCTGAAATACTAGCAGCTGTACAAGGCTTACAGATTGCCAACCAACTTGGAGTGGAGAATTTGTTAGTTGGAGATTCAAAAGTGGTAATGGATTGGTTACTGAATCCGGATACTGTTATTTGGGGCTATAGGGATCTTTTCAAAAAATTAAAATGGCTTACAAGGAATATGTCAGTCAGTTTTCAGTGGGTTAGCAGATTGACAAATGCCTTGGGCAGATTCTTTGGCTAAATAAGAGGTTTCTCGGGTTTCTTTGTATTGGGCTAATTTATAGTTTGTATATTGGTAAAGAGTAGGGTTTGTACTCATCCCAATGGGGAGGTAACATCTCGTGCCTCCTCCTAGGCTGATTGTACTCTCCTTTCCTCTCTATAATAAAATTATTTACTCATTCATCAAAAAATAAGAATTCAGCATATAGAAATGTCAGTTTACCAGGCTTCATGCAATGTGTCACCACATGAAATGAAAACATTTAAATGCTCAGATGTTTTTAATATCCCACTAACCAAATAAAAGCAACACAAAAAATACAAGAAAAGAAATGAGAAGAAAAGAATTAGGCATTTTGTACAGAAGACCATAGGTGAAAGAAGCAGACCCAAGAAGGAAATCCTTAGTTCCAACTTTTGAAAAGCTGGTATTGACAACATGGATCAATGGACTAAAAAGGGACGATTTGCCCAGTGTTGGCATAAAGAATGCCTCCCAGGAAAAAAAAATACGGGTACAAATAAAGTAATATAATATATCTTACAACCTGAGAATAAAGGTAGTTACTAAAATCCTCAGTTTCCTACCAAATGAGAGATCTATTTGCTCACTTGGGTTCTCTATAGAGGTAGAATAATGTCCACTTGGGCAACATATGTGTTGCATGAATATGGCAAAAAATAAGGTGATTAGAATAATTGACTATTGAAGCATTAAGATGGGATTCATAAGCATTCTCACAATGACTTGGGACCTGCCTGGGGGGGGGGGGGTGAGGGGCCTGCCACCCACATCCTTGAAGAGGAGTTAGTAACATCAATGGTACTTTTCTGAGAGTTTGAGAGCTAAGCCTTTTAACAAGCTTGACACTTAATCTTCTTTCTACCATATTGAGATCGATAATTCATTGACATAGAAGTCCACTTGGCCAAAGTTCTGACAAGGGCAACTAAAATAGGAATGTCACTAATATTCTTCTCCCAAGAATCCCTAGGAAATCTTGAGGATATTGGGGTAGAGATTTTGTAGTGAATATCCTATGAGATTCTTGGACAAGAGTTCAAGTGGGAGGGGAAGCCTTGTGCCAATGATCCATAACCGTTACATCTCTCTTGTGAACATCAACTACAGGGCTGGTCAATGTCATTGACTAAGATTTATCATGGTTGGGGTAATTCAACATTTCAACACTCTACTAGTTCCTTTAGGAATTTCACAATAAATCCCTAAAAACAAAGATGGCCTTAAAGAAGGTGATGTAAAATGGAGTAGGGCTCCTATGAGTTTCAGATCTGGTGGTGGGCTTTGTAGGGGTAAAAGTATGCATTTTGTTGTCCACCAAAGAATGAGTAAATAATCAGAAAGAGGGGGCGGGGGACTCTTGCTGTTAGGCTAAGCAGCAAAGAGAAAGATCACTTAGAAGTGAGAGAGAGAGAGAGAGAGAGGGAGAGGGGGGGGGAGAAAAATTCTTGGTAACAACCAGAATTCACTAAATCAAACTTTATTCTTCAAATCAACTCTTCTTTAATTGCAATTACAATGACTCTATTTATAGACTCAACTTAAAAAGTATACACTCGGATGCCCCTTTATAGACTCCAATTTGGACTAGGATACCAACCAACTCTAATTTAAAGACACAAGAAATTACTAAACATACTAAACTGCGAGTACAAGAATTACTATAAATAGTAAGCCTGAAAGCTCACATAAATAGTAATTTTGAAATAGCAATAAAATTCTAAAAAAAAACAAAATTCTATTATTAAGACACCTATAACTAGGATATAAATGAAGAAAAAAACAAAGCAATACCAACATCTTATCACCCAAAAATTCTGAAATTGGTGTAGGATTTGGAAAATTGATTTAGTTCTCCATGAATTCTTTCATTGCTTTTTTTTTTATCAATGAATTTTTTCATTGCTTTCATATCAGCTATCAGAAGGTATCCTCACAATGCCAGGATAGGATACAAGAAGCTTAGTGCTCAGAAGGAGGTCATGGAGAATAAAAAGACTTTCATTTGTTTCTAAACCACCTTCTCCTAACATGGCAATATTTGGTGTAATAGCCTCAACAACATTGCCAAAAGGCAAGGATCATAGTGAGAACCAAGGAGACAAGGGAGGTGAAAAAGAAGTTCCACCTGCCCTCCCCCCTCAGACCTCTCGCTCTCACATGTTCCTCATTTGTCATGTTTACTGCAATATAATAGCCTCAGCCACACTGCAGAAGAAGCACCTCTTTCCCAGGCATTTTTTTATCCAGAACAATGTAATTGTCCAATTGTTAATTTACTTTGGAAAATCCCTTTTTTTTCCAAAGGGATGAAAAAAAAATACTTTGGAAAATCTCCAATATATGGTTGCACGCAGGGCTAACATATGATGGTTTTGATAACAAGAACAATCCAGAGAATCAGCTATCACCGGGCCCACAGTCTGTATTGGAAACGACATCCCTCCACCAGGGCTCTGTGTTACATGGACACCAACACAAGAATTAGAATCCAACATGTGTCCAAAAGTCTGACACAACAAAATGAAGAAACAAGGACTCGTGTATAAATATGTAAAAAAATAGAAAGTATTAACATAGCACATATTTGTTGAATTTTATAAAGCTATAGAAAAAGGTCTAAAAAATTCACTTTGTTACTTAAATTTTTTCTTTTTTGATAAAAGAACACTGTAAACTAAAAAGAAGGCCAAACAACATTATTCAGGTCCAAAAAAGAGGGGGGAGCCCACCAAATCACATCATCAGAAAAGCTTTTATCCCTACACAGTCTACCCCAGATGGCTCAAACCAACATTTGGTATGGGTAAGTACTTTTTACAAGTGTCCTTCATGAATCCATGGAGTAAGGAATCTGACACTCTGACGTAGAAACTTCATCCATTTTAGGTTTAGGATGGTCCATCTCTAGGGGCTCTCAATTAGAATATGGAAAGGTGGACTTAAATGGCCTATAGAAAAATATGGGCCAAAAAGCAAACATCAACTTATCAATGTCATCTCGGCATACATGAATAAATACATACCTATATGCATATGTATGTATGCACATGCATACATACTAAACATTAATGAGATAAGATAGATGAAATATATATACTTTAAACCACTAAAATTTGCTCCAGGTGGAGTGTTGTTGTCACCATATATACCTGAAAAGCAGCACTACGACAGCAAGTGCCATCATGGAGGAAGAGTTTCCAACTGCAAGAAACACTGGGAGTGTGGTTGCACAGGGAGATAATGCAGGAACAAGAACAAGCCCTGCGACAGCCATTTTCTCCATGGGATGGTTGTGAGTATGGCTATGACCACCCTTTCCACGCAAAAACAGAATTATATAACTACCTCCAAGAACTATAAGCAATAGAGAAGCAAGTTTATGCACTGTTTCCTCGCCAGCAATAGTATTTGCCATGGTAACTGCTGTTATACCAAGCAGTGCAGTTGAGATTACATGCAAAACTGCTCCAAATCCCGCTGCATAAAAGGAATATTTGAGCAAAATAAGTACAGTAACAAGTAGACTTACAAATGTATGCAGCCAGAAAGCTTTGAGGAAATTACTTTCCATTATTGGAATAAATTTATACAGCAACTTATTCTACCTTTTATGTTCTGGTTCTTGTCTGAATCAGATTAAGGATTGATGTATCCTCAATATCTCTCTCAACAAAATACCTTTTGTTGGTCCCACATAAGGTTCCAGAATTAGTTGTTCACATTCAAATGGCTACTCACCATTGGTAGCAAAGAACAACTTTTTTGGTAATAAATGAAAAGGAAATTTTCATTAAAATAAAAATAGCAGATTACAATCAGGAAGGGTGACGAGTAATCTCTCTCCTCTCTTTGGAAACATCCTTAATATATTATAATATGGATGCCAAAAAAATATTAAAATATTTCCATATTATATTGTATCCATAATTTTTCACCTATTAAGGAGGAAACATAACAAAAAGAAAGTACATGTGCTTTAATCACCACTTCCAATGTTTCTCAACTCTAAAGTAGAGAATGACTCCTTAGACACCTCATTAAACTCTGGCAAAATCAAAATCCAATCTAATAGATTGAAGAAGGCCCTCAAAAGAAGTCTTTTCCTTACTGGTCTTTCCTTTTTTTTTTTTTTGAAAAAGGTAAGGTAAATATCAGTGTTTTAAAATGCGGAGGCGGCGAGGCGTTCCACTACCTAAAGGCGTGAGGCGTAGTTTAGAATGCAAGAGGCGTAAGCCTCCCGAACACAAGGAGGTGTAATCCTCCGTAAGAGGAGGGGGTAAGGAGGTGGAAGGGGGATCTTATTTTTTCTTTATTTTTAATAAAAATCTTTAATATTAGGAAGAATAAAGATGCACAACATTAGTTGAAGGGGGGGGGGGTCTTGTTGAAGCGAAGACGAGCAGAGCAAGACCCCCCTAACTCAAAAACAAATTGGGCTGCATCAAAAAGGGGGCAAACCACTTTCTTTCCCCTTATCTTTTCTTCTCTTCCCTTTCCTTTTCTTTTCTATCCTTTTCTCTTTCTCTTTCTTTTCCTTTCCTTTCCTTTCCTTTTTTTTTCTGTCTTTTTATATAAGATGTGCATGTGTGCATGAGGCGTACGCCTCCCACAGCTTTTAAAACACTAGTAAATATTATTAATAGAGAACCAGAATAAAGAATACAGTTGGCCTCTCAGCAAAACTTGGGCTCAAAACCAAGAATACATTACAAGATATCACCAGCAATCAGCTGGGATCCCAAGACCCTTGGTTGAACCCCTTTACAGCAGCAGTCCAGGAGTCTAACTTCCCAAAAAGAAAGGAAATTAGTTGACCCACTTCACTATGCTTGTTCTTGAAAATTCTGCTGTTTCTTTCAGCCCAAATGGTACTGATTACTGCAGCAGGGAGGGAGGACCATACACTTTTTGCTACCTTAGACAATCCTCTTTGATCCCAGCACCACAATAGGTCACAAAAGGTTGCTGGCATAGACTAGTGGAGATGCCAGAGGGACAAGAAGTGGTTCCAGATTGTAGTGGAGACAGAGCAGTGCAGAAATAGGTGGTTACAATCTTCTTCCACTTGATTACAGAACACACAGGACAGGTCCTTGAGCACAGCCCAGAGCAAAGCACTTATCTTTGAAGGGACAACCTGACTCTAGACTTTTTCAGCAGGAAACTCAGCTTGAAAACCACTTGCTTGCATAGTTGTCAAGGCGATGCCTAGGCGCCCGCCTAGGCGACTAGGTGCTTTTCAAAAAACGCCTCGCCCAAACGCCAACTATGTTAGGTGCATGGTTAGTGGGATGAAGCAAATATATTATATAAATATTTATTAAATAAAAAATAAAAATATATAATATTTTATTGGTTGTTTTAGTTTTTATAAATAGAACCTATTGCATGTTATCATGCTTTTGTTTTGAGGAAAGTAAAAAAAAAGTTAATCTTCAAGGGTTTCACATTGACAATAGAATCGAAGTATCGAACTGAGGAAGATGAGAGAACAACAGCTTCCATCGTTCCCACACAGTCCTCTAAAGTCAAGGTGTGCTAATCAGTTTTCTTCTTCTTTCTCTTCTTAGTTTTGTTCTCTGTTTCCTGGTTTAAAACAGTGGTTACACCCCATTTTCTCCTCTTCCTTTTTGTATATTTTCTCCAAGTTTTTTGAATCATTTTATTGGACTAAAACAGGGGCTCCGCCTCCTTTTGTTCTTAAATTTCCTGCATGTTTTCAGCTTTTTTTTTTTCTCATTATTGGTGTCTGAAACAGGGGCTCCACCGCTTCTTTTATTTTAGTATTTTTTTTTTCACCAGCTTTTCTGGGTCTAGAACAGGGGCTCTGCTCCCTTCTTTTGTTCTTAATTTCTTCCATTTTTTCGGCTTTTTTTTTTGTTCTCATTATTGGTTTCTGAAAAAGGGGCTCCGTCCTTTCTTTTCTTCTTCATATTTCTTCTTTTGTTTTAATATTTTTTCACCAGATTTTCTGGGTCTAGAACAGGGGCTCCGCCCCCTACTTTTCTTTTCCATTTTCTTCTTTTATCTTAGTATTCGTTCCCTATGTTCAGTTCTTTCAAGTTCTAACTTTTAACTTGTAGGTTGCAACTCTAATATATTGTTTTGCCTACTTGAAGCAACACTGCAAGAAATACAAGCACAAAAGTAAGTGCAGAATACATAAAACCAATAAAAACTCATTCAAAAGGGGTAGAAATCATCGGCAAGCCTTGGTTTTAAATTCCATCGCCTAGGCGAGGGCTAGGCGCTCGATGGTCGCCTAGCCTCGCCTTGGTGCCTTGAAAACTATGCCTGCTAGGTTCCTGGCAAAGGAGTTAACAGAGAATACACCACCATTACTCCAATTCCAGTTCCAGGTGTCCTCTTCCATCAGGTTCAGGTTCTGGTTGGACAACAATTCCAGCAGATTAGAAACAAGGTCCAGCTCCCGATCCTGAAAACTTCTGAAAGAAGGGCACCAAACCTGGATGTTGTCTTGGACCTCACAGCAGTCAGCCACCAAGATATCTTGATTCTCTGCAATCTGGTACAACTGAGGAAATAACTCTGCTAAAGATCTACTATTGCACCAAATATCCTTCCAAAATTTTACCCTCTGTCCATTTCCCAGCTTAACCGAAAGACCCCTATTTATCAGAGGGAAGACTTCCATGATTACCTTCCAGATGGAACACCCCAGAGAGGTCACAGAAACAGTTGTCACCCAATCCCCATAGTCTGTGTTGTATTTGGCTGCGACCAGACTTCTCCACCAACTATCTCTTTCTTTACCAAATCTCCAGATCCATTTACCTAGAAGAGTCTTATTAAAGACCTTCATTTTCCTGACCCCGAGACCACCTTTTCTTTTAGGGGCACAAACCTGATCCCAACTAACCAAGTGAATCTTCTTCTCCTCTTCCCACCCCTTCCAAAGAAAATATCTCTGCAGCTTTTCCACTTTTTCGACCACTTTCCTTGGCATTAGGAAAAGAGACAGAAGTAGGAGGGCAGATTTGATAATGAACTTTTTAGAAGAGTAATCCTACCACCTAAGGATAGATATTTGGATTTCCAATGAAGCCCACTTCTTTTCTAACCTCTCCAGAACTGGCTCCCACACTAAGGCTGATGTGCATTTAGCTCCCAAAGGGAGCCCCAAATAAATAGTTGGCAGGAAACCAACTTGACAGGCTAGAACCTCAGCTAACTCTTGAATGTTTTCTACTTTTCCCACTGGAATTAACTTGCTTTTGGCCCAGTTGACTTTTAGGCCCGAAACTACCTCAAACCAGCAAAGAACCCTAAAGAGCACTCCCAACTGTTCCACATCAGCATCAATAAAGCATAGGGTATCATCAGCAAATTGGAGCAATTGGACTTTTTCTTCCCCCGAGGTGGTTTCAAAACCATGCCACAAGCCCTCATTTCCCACCCGGTTCACAAAGGCTGTTAATAATTCCATCACACAAATAAAAAGAAGAGGAGAGAGGGGTCTCCTTGTTGAAGACCTCTTAAAGAAACTAGCTGACTGACCATTCACTAGGACTGAAAATTTAGGAGAAGTGATGCAAACCTTCATCCAGTTCCTCCATCTTTGCCCAAAATTCATTCTTTCCAACACAAAGTCCAAGCATCTCCAGTTAATATGGTTGTAGGCCTTTTCCAAGTCCAGTTTACAAATCAGCCCAGGTTTTTCTTCCCTTTGCCTTGAATCAACCAGTTCATTAGCCACCAAAACACTATCCAACATTTGTCTTCCCAGCACAAAAGCAAATTGTTTTTTTGCAACCACTGAATTCAGGACCTTCTTCATCCTTTCAACTAGAACCTTGGCTAAGATTTTGTAGAAGCTGTTTAACAGACTTATTGGTCTTAAATCCTTTATATTTGTAGCTCCCTCCACCTTTGGGATTAAAGAAATAAAAGTATCATTCAGCCTTCTTTCAATAGTAGCTTTAGAGTGGAATTCATAAAAAACTTTCTTTTTTAAAGGTAAGGTAAATATTATTATTATTTTTTAATATTATTAATAGAGAACCGGAAAAAACTTTTATCATCTCCCAGCACTTTTTATAGAATAAGTTTGTGAGCCCATCTGGCCCTGGAGATTTATCAACTTCCAAGTTTTTTATCACTTGCCAAATCTCTTCCTCTGAGAAGGGAATTTCTAATTCTCTTTGTTGTGCATCTGAAATCCTATTCAAGTTCAAATCAAGAGGGAGGGGTCTCCATTTCCAACTTTCCTTGAACAGATTTGAAAAGTAGTGGGTTGCTATACTTTTCAACTTAGTCCAAGATTCACCCACTTGGCCGTCATTCTCTAGTCTTTCAATTTGATTGACTCATCTTCTTGCATTTGCCATCTTGTGAAAGAAACCAGAATTTTTATCCCCTGCTTTCAGCCAGTTAACTTTTGCTCTCTTTCTCCACTTTAGCTCATCCCTGTAAGCTAACTTATCTAGAGTCAGCTTTGCTTCAAGCCTCTTTTTCCT